GGCGCGGGCCGAGGCGGGGCGCAGGCGGCTGGGGCCGGGCGGCCGGCGCGAGAGTAGCGTCCAGCGGCGGCTGGAGAGCAACGAGCGCGAGAGGCAGCGCATGCACAAGCTCAACAACGCCTTCCAGGCGCTGCGCGAGGTCATCCCGCACGTGCGTGCAGACAAGAAGCTCTCCAAGATCGAGACGCTCACGCTGGCCAAGAACTACATCAAGTCGCTGACGGCCACCATCCTGACCATGTCCAGCAGCCGCCTGCCTGGCCTCGAGGGCCCAGGACGCAAGCTTTACCAGCACTACCAGCAGGGAGCTGGAGAGGTACCCACCGAGAGCCACCTGCAGCGGTACTCCACGCAGATCCACAGCTACCGTGAAGGCACCTAGGTCCACCGAGGGGGGACGGCAGTGGGCTGGCCTACCCATCCCAGCCCGGCCCCTCTGGCCTGAGCCCGCGGGGGGTGACTTTGCCCTCGTGGCCCTGGCCCCAGTGCCTCCGCGTTCCCTGAACACTCAGCCACCTCCCAGGAGCTGTTTTCCTGTTCCCTTGGGACAAGCAGTGGCAAAGGTCCTGCTTTGGAATGAACTGGCCCGACTAGGCAGCTGTTGAAAGGTGTTTGCCTTTTTAACCAAATTCTCTTCACCCTCCTCTTCCTCCTGGGCAAACAAGATTCCAGGAAAAGGGTTACTTATGTAAGTTTCCCCGGCTGCTAAGGCCAAGGCCTGGGACCCTCCAACCTGCATCATAGCGCAAGATGGGATCTGGACTCAGCCTCCTCGTTTGAGGTAAACTGAGGCATGGAGCCACTCCAGCAAAGCCCAAGACCACACAGGATGTATAGCAGAGCCAAGGTCTTTGAGGCTTCTAGCTGAGAGGCTCTCAGATGGAAACCTTGATCAGATGACCTCAAATTAATTCTAGAGGGAACTCGGCCTGAAGAGGGGCTGGGATCCTTCCCTCCCGGCCAGGGGCAAGGCTCCAGGCGGAGCCCTGACTACAGAGGGTCCACCTGTAGCCCTGGTGCTGTGGGGTGCTCATGGTCCTGTTTATCACTGACTCAGGCTCTGATTGACAGAGGGTGGTCTAAGAGGGTGGCCTTTTAGGAAGGAGCCTTGTGGCACAATGGCTAAGCGCTCAGCTGCTAACCGAAAGGTTAGCAAGTTGAATCCCACCAGCAGCTCCGAGGGAGAAAGATGTGGCAGTCTGCTTCCGTAAAGATTGCAACCTTGGGAACACTATGGGGCAGTTCTACTCTGTCCTTACAGGGTCACTGTGAGTTGGAATTGACTTGACGGCAATGTTTGGTTTTTTGGTTGGTCTGATCAGATTTTAGGATGTTCCCAGATCCCTGGTTGTAGCTGGGGCTTTCTCTGGGGTGGAGCCAGCGGTGGCAGGCGGCTCCCTCCCCATCCCGTGTGAGGCAGGTCCCCACAGCCTCAGGCCAAGCTTCCTCCTGCTGGGCGTGCCTGCCTGCAGGCTCCTCAGACTTGGCGTCTCTCCTCTCTACCCCTGCTGGCATCTCTCCTCCTTGTCCCTCTGCTCCCAGCCCAATACAGCAATAGGGGCTGGCTCATGGGGCCCAGGTTCCCCCCACCAGCTCCCCAGCTCTCCCTTCCTGACCGCACCACATCCCCCCCCCCCCGCTTTGGTATGGGGCACTTAATGCCCCAGGGGCTTGGCGTTAGCTGTGGCCACATCAAAGGCAGCCAGGGCAGCGGGTGGCTCCACAGAACAGCCATTAGTGGCTGTGCTCCTACGTCTCCCAGTCAGATCCTGGCCGGGCCCTCCTGGCCCCCACTCCTCAGTCCTCCGAGGGGGGCCTGCCGTGGTTGATCTCCCGTCCCAGTGAGCCATGATGGTGCACCATGTTCCTGCCAGCACTTGGAGGCCTGGCGGGCCCCAGCCTCACCGACCAGTGATCCCTCACCACTACCCCTCATGGGGGACTGCTTTGCACAGTCAGCAGTCAGGGTGATCTACCAGGACGCGTGGGGGCTCGACGACTCCAATCTTGGGACAGCCCACACCGCCCCTGTGAGGGGGAGCTAACCCGCAGAGGGCCTGCAAAGCCGAGACTGAGGCCCATGGGGGCCTGGGGATGTCCGGCAGGGTGGCACACAGTACCGAGGGGACCTCTCACCTCTTTCCTTCTGCCCAAATTGGTAACTGCACCCCCTCTACTTCCTGAAGGTGACTGGCCCAGACTTCCAGTCCTCCACCTGTGGCCGGAGGGGACCTGCACGCCCTGCGGCCATGTCAGGAAGGATCCTTAAAGGTCCCAGCCCTGAATGCTGGGGTGCGGAGGACAGTATGTGACAGGCTGGTGAGGCCCTGGTCTTCGACCCCCCCGAACTTTCTGCCCTGCACGGATGCCCCTGTGAACACGGTATGGTTGGAGGCCCGCCTGGGTCTGCCAGGATGTGGGTCAGGGACATTTCCTAAAGTCACCCCTGATGGGCGCCTACCTGCACCACCCCGTCCTGGGTGCCAACCTGGATGACACCCCCAGCAACACGAGCTTGTCGGGGAAACAGCTGGAGCTGACTGGCCAGTGCCTGGCTTTAATTTCGGGGGGAGTGGTTCTTAAACGACCCAAATCTGCTTTCATTCTTCCTAACGGCCCCTTCAAAGCGCTCACGGGCCCAACACCGTCACAGAACGAAAATTAAAGATTTCCCGGCAATGGCCATGTCCACCCCACGGGCAAGTGCAGCGCGGGGAGAGCTAGGCGCTTTAATCACACCGGATCAATAAAAGTGTCGCCTCATCTGCACTCTGGCGTGCACCTTATTGAACATTTATTGTACATTTATCTGAGGAAGTGGGACGGCCCCGTGGGGCTGGGTAGGTAAACCCTCAGCACTCGGTGGCGCTGGGTGAGGGTGCCCCGGGGAAGGGGCTTCACCAAAAGCCACCTAGCACAGCGGATACAGCAGGTGTCCTCAGGAGGACAAAGCCACAATGCCCATGCGACAGGAACTTGACAGTGAAATGCAAATGGGCAGGCGGCCATCCCCCACAGCTGACAGTCCACCTTCCACATGATTCATCTAGGAACTCTGAGCCAGGCACGGCCCCCCCGCCCCACCTCCCCAAAACACGCAAATGCAGAGACACCAGGTCCCTCAGTGCCTGCGGGAGGTGACCCCATGTCATCTCCTCGGAGTCCAGTCCCGGCAACAAAACACCGTACATGGAAACAGAACTGAATGCCGGTCAGCTCCCTCCTCGCATGAGGAGGCTGACTGCAAATGGGGCATTGGGTCGGAGGGAGGAGTGCCAACAACCTCCTGGGCAAAGTGTCCCTGGCAGGAAGCAAACTCGGACTCGCCAAGTAGGGTGTACGTGGGTAACCAGCGGAGACCTGCAGGGTGGCAGGCGGGCTGCCATCCGCCAGGCGGACTGTGCTCTGCTGCGCTGTGAGGGTCCTCGTCCTGGGCGCCTGTGCTGGCCGATTCCTGCCCTTCCCCCAGTGCCCCCCAAGGCTCATCCTTGGCCGGATGCCCAGTTATCCAGAAAGCCCCCACCCAGCCCTCCACAACACGATCCCATGGAAAAGGAAAACACCCAGTGGCTCCCAAACACGTCCAGGAGAGGCTGACGGAGGCTTAACGACCAACCGGCGATTCTGTGAAGAACGGGCTGCCTTCTCCCAGCCCCGGATGGCCTCCATCCCTAGAGCGGGGGCCTGCGCCCACCCTGGGGAACAGGACACCTCGCCCTACCCACTAGCATAGATCCAATCAGTCACCTCCTTCCTGAAGTTCTGAAACGTCACCCTTTCTGCAAGTCCTACTCTGAGGAATAATCGCAGCGCATGCCACAGTGGCCCTGAGCCTTATGGACCTTCTCTTTGGGGCAACAGGAAGCGTAGGGGAGATGGGGTGATTGGCCTGGGGTGGGGGGCTCCTTCCCAGGGTCTGTGGGGTAGGCATGGGGGCTCTGCGTTCAGGGCCAGCATTCTTGGATAGTCTGTTTCCAGTCCCGGAAAGGTGGGGGGGCAGAGAGGAGAGGGAGTGGGAGGGGCCAGGCCCCTCTAGCCCAAGGCACTCCTCCCAGTCTGGGAGCACAGGGGCTTCCCCAAAGCTTCACATTCTGGGCTCTTCTGGTGCCTGGTCCCGGCCTGGGTGACACTGCCACACCCACATCTCAGCACAGGACATGGGGCTGGCAGGCTCAGGTGACCACCTCCCCCTTCCCCCACACTGCCAGCTCCCAGCGGCCTCAGCATCGCACGGGGCCACTGCCTGCCTCCTCCAGGGGCGTGCTGGTCTCCTGACACCCACTCCTGGGGGCCCCGGTGGCATTGGCCCGGACGGAGATGTGGTCCCAGCCGCCCTAGAAGGAGAGAGTGTGTCACTGGGCCTTTTGAAGCTGACCCCAAGATGCCCTGGGCTGGGCACCTCCCGCCATCCCCACACCAGGCCCTAGGGGGACCCCTACAGCCAGCCATCCCCATGCCAGGCACCAGCGGGGACCCCCACAGCCAGCTATACCCAAGCCAGGCCCCAGCGGGGACCCCTAAAGCCAGCCATCCCCACGTCAGACCACAGCGGGGACCCCCACAGCCAGCCATCCCCACACTGGGCCCCAGCAGGGACCCCCACCACCAGCCATCCCCATGCCGGGCCCCAGCAGGGACCCCACAGCGTGGCACCCCCATAAAGTGCCCAGGCCGGGTCTGCACCAGGGCCTGGCCTTGCTCACCCCTATGCCGTAGTCCCAGGCCTGCCCAGTGGGCTCGTGGGGCTGTACCCCTGTGCGGTGACACACTGTCCCCCGGCTCAGGCTGTGGCTCCCCTGGACTTTGTTGGCAATGACCCAGACCTGGAACACAGGCCCGCTGAGCCCTGTCGGCAGTGGGACCGCTGAGGTGGGGAGGGGTGGGGGAAGGAGACCAGAGGTAGCTGGGGCGCCCAGGGACACCTAGAGTGAGCCCCCAACCCGGGGACCCAGCCAAGGAACAGGAGGGGGGCCTGGGAGTAGTGTGTGCCTGCCCAGTGCACAGACCTGGTCCAGGGGCCCCACGGACACTTTGCACACATTGTTGGATACATGCTCCCAGCTGGAGCCTTGCGGGTAGCTGGGGGTGATCCCCTGGCGGTACCACAGGTTCCCTGGGGAGAGAGGCAGGTGTTGGCAGAGGGCCTCCGGGCCCACCCTGCTGATCAGGCCGCAGCGAGGGGGGATGGCGGGAGCCAGAGCTGCAGACAGCGGTGACAGTCCCAACTGCTGGCGTCCAGAGCTCTCTGTCCCCTGGCTTGGCATCTCCTTTGTGCTGGGCATGGCTACCTCTTCCCCTCTGCCCACAGATGTGGACACCAAGGACAGAGAAGGTTTAACAAATAGAGAGACCAGATGTGGAATAAACCCATAGATTTAAGTCCACATTCCGCCCTTTCCAACCTGTTTTCAGCTGCAACAGCAATGACAAAGTGTTAAAGAGAACTGGCAGGAGGGCCCTGCCAGGAGACGGGGCGAGTTAGGCGGGCCAGGCCAGGGGCGCCACACCGCTTCCTGACTCCCGGCCTTCTAGAAGACCAGGCCCCAACGGGCAGTGTCACTGGGCCCAGCGGAGGGCTCCTGCTACCTCTGCCTAGGCCCCACCTGGGAAGGGGTGATGCCCCTCCTGACCCCACCGCTCCAGGTAACCTGAGAGACCAGTGCAGAGGCCGACCTCAGGGCCTGGGTGTGGCCCAGCCCTGTGTCCACAGATCAGCCATAGCTCTCAGCGGACCCTGACCGGGACTGAGGTTACCTGGGAGGTCACGCTGACACCTGGGCCTGTGCCTGGCCTTCACCCTGGCCTTCCATGTCCCCGAGGGAAGATGCGGCACAGCAAGCTTCCTCCAGGCCCCTGAGACCCACTGAGAGGACACCCTGGCCCCTGCCTTATGCCAGGAGGGCTGCGCCTCACCCCCATCTCCCAAGAGCTCAGGGGCCCCAGGCCTTCCCTGAGACCTCACAGAATATGGCTCACCGTTCTCGTCCAAGGCATACACGGACGTCTGACCGACAGATACCTGCTTCAGCCTCTGTTTAGGGGGGGACGGGATGTGGTACCAGCAGTCACCTGCAATGTGAGGCCTGGCTGAGGCTGCAGCTGGGGGCCCCACAGCCTGTGAGCCCACCCACCGTCAGCAGCTCACAGGACCTCAGACATGCATGGTCGGGTAGGTGCACTGGCCTCTGTCCCTGCCCACTGCATGTGGCCAGGGCCCACCAGAAGTGCCTAGACCCAATGTCCACCAACACCCCAGCCTCTCTGGGGTCTTTGGGGGCCACAGCAAGTTCATACAGACGCTGACACCCAGGTGCCAAGCCTAGCACAAATGGGAGTCAGCCCCTGGCCGCTGTGTGCGCCCACTAGGCTGGTGCGGGGACAGTTTGCTCTCCAGCCGGCTGCCCACCATCTGCCCCCGCGCTCGTCCCTCCGTCCCTCTGCCGGCTGCCCTGCGCCAGGCACGGAGCCGAACTGCAGCAAAGAGCCAGAGTGAGACCGGCACCCTGCCCCCACCCCCCAGGCTGACCTCCCGGGGGGAGAAGCGCAGCGGACAAGTGACCAGATGCATCCCATTGGGTGGGCCACGCCGGGCGATGGGATGGAGGCACAAGGGGGTTCAGGAGGTGGGGAGGCAGGGGTGTCCCCTTAAGGACACAAGAACGTCTGGGAAAGAACATCGGGGGCAGGGGAGGGAGACAGCAACTCCCGGGGTGGGAGCGGCTGGAAGGCCATCACCAAGGGGACCGCCCTGTAGCCACCCTGAGTGGGGAGGGCCCAGCCTCGGTCGGGGGTCCTGGCCAGGGGTAGGCTTCAGCAAACATTTGTGGAGTTGAAGTGAAATCAGGAGACCCATCACTCCTACTCTCACCTCTGACGGAGGCCTGTGGACTCGCCCCGGCCCTGCCCTTCCTGAGCAGGTAGCACAGGGTTGGGGTCATCAGGGTGACGCTCACCTGCTGGCTGGGAGGGGGATACAGAGCCACGGTAGAAGGCGGAGCCATCGCGGGCCACAGCCCACACCTGGTGGCAGGCACCCACAGAGACGCAGGTGAAGGGCTGGTCAGTGCCCACGTGCAGCCAGGACGAGCCCTGGGGGGAGGGGCACTGAGGTTTGGCCAGTGCGTACAGCCTGGTTACTGGGCCTGCTCCTGGCCCTCCCTGGCCCAGGTGACAGGACCCCGCACAGCGCCTCAAATCACTGGCTTGTGGGTGACAGGGAAGGTGTGGCGTCAGGGGGTCTAGATGAGGACGAGGGTGGTCCTTGGGCCATACATAAGGGCAGCCTGACCAGCTCTGACTGTGACCCAATCTTGATCAAGTGACCTGGTTGTTTCTCTCAAGTGTGCAGGTAATGGACACTGGGTATGAGCTGCTCAGTGACGATACATGGGGCCTTCTGGGCTGGCGTGTGGGGCCGGCCTCTGCCACTCCCACCCTGGGGCCCCGAGAGCTGGGAGGCTCCCGGTGCCCATCCCAGTCTCCAAGCCCAGTGAGCCAGTTGGGGTCCTGTAGCGACCACCATCCAGGGCCCTGTCCTGGACAGCGTGAGTCCCCCTGACCCCATATCCAGAGGCCTGACTTGCGAAAGAGTCTACCAGCACCCCACCAGCCTGCGATGGCACTCACTGCGGGGTTGAGCTTGGACACGCCCAGGCGGCACAGCACGTCCCCCTTGTCGCTGACGGCCCACAGGGCGATGCTGCCCTTGGCGTCTGGGCTCTCAGGGATGATGGACACGTCCCCCAGGGCGATGGGGGCCACCTCCAGCCAAGGCCCGCTGGTCACCAGCTTGCATTTTCTGCACATGGGAAGAGAGCACAGGCCAGGGACCCAATATGACTGGGTGGCTGGGCTAGCTCAGTCACTGCACGGAGCCCACGGGGGCTCAGGGAGCGAGAATCGCAGGGCACAGACCTCTCCCCCAAACCCAAAAACCAAACCCATTGCTGTGAGTCAATCCCGACCCATAGTGACCCTACAGAACAGAGCAGAACTGCCCTGTAGGGTTTCTAAGGAGCAGCTGGTGGATTTGACCTGCTGACCTTTTGGTTAGCAGCCTGAGCTCTTAACCACAGCACCACCTCTCCTCAGGGGGCTGGAAAAAGAACCACCAGGTGCCAGGCTCCCAGGAGCAGCTTGGTCTCAGGGAGGGGAAGGGCCAGGTACAACACCTGGGAGGTGCAGCCGGGGAGAGGGGTGGGGGTGGGCACGACTTCCCCGAGGATGGGAGGGGACAAGGAGGCCTGGGAGGAGCTGGCTCCCTCCCAGCCCTGCCTGCCCTGCTCCGCCCCCCCTAGACCTGCCCCGACATTTCTGTTTGTCCTCAGAAACCGGAGAGCCGAGAGGCTGGGAGCCCGCGGGCATTTCCTGGCCTGACATTTACTTTGATACCATGCCCCGCCTGCCCCCTCCCCATTTTTTTCCATCGGACCAAGGTCGGAGGCCAGAGATTTGGCCCAAAGGAATCAGAATTCCCTCCAGGCTGGGGGCCCAGCCGTCACCTGGCCCAGCACCGTCTCCTGACGAAGGCCTTCATGGTCTTGTACCCGTGGTATGAGCTGCAAGAGGAAGAAGTGGTTTCGAGATCACTCCCCAGAAGTTTCCTCTTCCACCCTCTCGGTCAGCGGGGCACCTAGCAGTCCCTGCCCGGGGTGTGAGCCACGCAGCGGGTTCAAAGGGAGTGCCATCCTCCCCTGGAGACCCTCCTGATGACTCCCAGGCAAAGTCTGAGGGGTCGCCTGGGGTGGGGGCCTCCTGGGGTGGGGGTCATTCTGGGGTTGGGGCCTCCTGGGTTAGAGGGTCACGCTGGGGTGGGGATCACCCTGGGGTGGGGGGGCCTCCTGGGGTGGGGTCAGGGCACCTGCCCAGGCAGGAAGGCCTGGCTCAGTGGCTCTGAGCCCATCCTACCCCAGACCCTATCAGACCCTTTTTGGGGAATACAAGCCTTCCCTCCAGGTGAGGGCCCCAGGGCTGAGTGGGCAGGGGACAGTCCCAGGAGAGTCCTGCGGCCTGCCTTCTTCCACGAGGTACCGAGGTACCGGGTCTGAGGTCTGTTCAGAAACAGCCCCAGTGCCTGCCCTCTAGGCTCAGTCTCCTGTTTTTGATGTGACTGCACCATGGAGGCACTGCAAAACACCCTGACACCTTCTGCCAGCCCCACTGCCTGGCCGGCCTGTCACCCACCCCTGTCGCTGCCCCCGCATGGCGTCCTGCCTCCCAGGACAGAGTTGGCCTCGCTTACACTGCCCCTCCACTCAATACCCTCCCTAGGGTCATCCAAGGACTGAGCTGGCCTCACTCGGGGCCTGGCCCACAGTGGCTCGAGGCCCCCTCTCTCCCTGGGGCCCCCTCAGCCCTGGTAATGGGGTTCCCCTATCTGGCCTCCTAGGACCTAGGCCCAGCAGGGATGTGGCCAGGTCCCGAGCTGGACTGTCACCTGTGGACAGGTGTAAAGCTGGGGCTCACCCAGGCCCCCCTTCAGCTGCTCCTAGTCCTGCTGGGGGCTGACACAGCACTCAGGGCTCCGCTGCCTCTACCACGGCAGGGTGCCCCCAGGGCCGGCTGGGCAGAGGCCACCAGGGAGGAGTGGGCTGCCAGGGTCAAGCGCCCAGGGTCCTGACACTTGGGGTCACCGTCCTGGGAGACCCCATGCAGAGAGGAGGAAAGTCACTTACGCAGGAAAGTCACTGGCATACTGCCATCCCTCCTGGTCGGTGCCCCCAGGAGCACTGAAGTCCACGTACCAGTCAGAGACCTGGGGAGAAGCCGAGTCAGGGCAGGGGATCCCTGCACCCTGAAACCCAGCTACCAGTCAGACCTGGGGGACCCTACCTGCACCCTAAACCCAGGAACCAATCATATGTAGGGAACTCCACCTGCACCCTGAAACCAACGTACTAATCAGAACTGGGGGACCCCAGCTGCACGTGAAACCCAGGTACCAGTCAGATCTGTGGGACCCCACCTGTACCCTAAAACCAGGAACCAGTCATACCTGGGGGACCCCACTGGCACCCTGAAACCAAGGAACAAATTAGACCTGGGGGACCCCACCTGCACCCTGAAATCAAGGTACCAGTCAGACCTGGGGGACCCCACCCGCACCCTGAAACCAAGGTACCAGTCAGACCTGGGGGACCCCACCTGTACCCTGAAACCAAGGTACCAGTCAGACCTGGGGGACCCCACCTGCACCCTGAAACCAAGGTACCAGAGACCTGAGGGAGAGGCCTGTCAGTGTCACAGCGGAAGCCGGCACTCACCCAGGTCCACTGTGGGGAGGGCGGCTTCGTGCTGGCCTTGGTGCGTTCCTGCAGCCCTGAGGCGTCACTCCACATGTACCGGTCAGTGGGCAGACCTCTGTGGGGATGGCAGGGGGTGATAGGGGAGAACCCAGAAGCAGGCAACCCTAGGTGCGCACTGTGGTGGCACGCTGGGAACCCTTCTGGAGGAGCCCTGAGGAAGGAGCCTGCACCCCGGAAGCCAGAACAGGTGCCCCAGGGTGAACACACTCAGGTGCCCCGAATTTCAACATCTAGCCTCCTGAACTGTGAGAAAATAAATGTTCGTTCTTTAAAGCCACACACTTACATTTGTGTTACAGCGGCATTAGGAGACTAAGGCACCACTACACACACACTGGAGTGGCTGAAATAGAAAAGGCTAACGAAAACATCGGGGCTCTCACACGCTGCTGGAAAGATGCGAAGTGGCCCACCCACTCTGGGAATCTGGCCTTGCAGAGTGAAGTGGCACACACTTATTCCCTAAGACCCAACAATTCTGCTCCTAGGCATGTACCCACAGAAACGTGTGACTGTGAAGAGCTCTCCACAGTGCCTCGACCAGCCCAAATGTCCACCAACAGCAGGACATATAAATATGTCACAGTATTTTAATATATTATACAGCAAAACAGAAAATGAACTGCAGTTACATGAAACCCCAAGGGTGAATCCCACAAACATTATGTTAAGTGAAAGAAGTCAGGCACAAAAAAAATAGAATTCCATTCACGTGATGTTCAAAACCAAGCGAACTACTACAAGGGCCAAGTAACCACCATCATTACCTCCCAGCCCCCTGCAAAAACAACAGAATCATGCAAGCCAAACTACAATAGTGGTTCCTGATGAGGAGGGAGGGGTAATGCAAGAGAAGAGGCGTGAAGGGGCGAGGAGTCAGGTAATGCTGTTTCTTGACCTGGGTGGTGATTACACTGGTGTTTGATCTGGGATAACTCAATGAGCTATGTTATATTTACGTTTTGTGTATTTTATATATGTGATAAATGAAACTCATTGCCATCAAGTCGATTCTGACTCATAGCAACTCTATAGGACAGAGAACTGTCCCATAGGGTTTCCAAGGCTGTAACATTTATGGAAGCAAACTGCCACATCTTTCTCCTGCAGAGCAGCGGGGGGGTTCGAACCGCTGACCTTTCAGTTAGCAGTCGAGTGCTCCACCACTGGGCCACCAGGGCTCCTTATGTATGTGGTACCTCCCAACAACTAAGTTTTTAAAATATGCATCCCACTGAAAGAATCACGAGAAAAACACCTGGGGAGCAGTAAGATGCAGTTTGTCCGCACCAGGGGGCCGGCACCAGCTTCCTGGCCAGTGTTCATCGACTGCGGCCTGGGCAGGAGGCACCCACACCAGGGCTACGCTGCTCACCTGCTGGTGTAGCCGGTGACCGGGTTCCAGCGCTGGTTCTCATAGATGTAGACACACTTCACATCCGACTGCGTGTAGATATTACTGGTGCTGCTAGCCAGGCCTGTGGGGAGAGGGGGCTACAGTGCCTGCCCCACTCAGGCCTCAGGGTTTGGGTCAGCAGAGAATAGGGGGGCAGGGCCCAGATCAGCAGAGTAATGCCTGGCTGAGCTTATCTTGCAAGGGGCTGGGCTTGGACTCCACTCCTCTACGACCACCACTTCAGTGAGAAGACCCGGCTGCGCACGGAACCCTTTCTGCCTGCGTCCCCTCCAGCCCTCTTGCCTCAGGCTCTGTCCATGGCTGCACCTCTCTCCTCGTCACTCCCTGGACCAAATTCCTCGTTTCTAAAATGGGGACCAAAGTAACTCCTGCCTCACAAACGGGGAAGCTGTTACACCTGTGCAGATGTGCATGCCTGTGGTCTGAGTGGACCACTGCTCTATCGGATTTGCTGCCCCCTACTGTGGGGCATGTGGGTTGGGGCACGGACTTGTCTCATTTCAGAGATTGTTTCTGCCTCTATTTCCTACTAGGAGAGCCTCATAGAACTCAGGGGGTCCCCAGGAGTTCAGCAAGCTCTCACCCCCTAGAGTATGACCCATCTAGCAAGAGGCCAGAGTTTGGGCCAGGGAATCAGGAGATCAGGATCCTGGGGTTGCCCAATGCACCCAGAGGTCCCATCTGAAATGAGGGTTGGAGATGCTGCAGGGCCCTGGGCAGCTGGCCTTTCTACAACCCTCAGCCAGCAGGGTGCCTGGGAGGGCTTGGTGGTCTCCAGGCCCACCCTCAAGGGTTGGTCGAGGGACTGCCTGCCCCCTCCCTCATCCTCTGCTGACAGTTGTGAAGGTCACCTGCCGGCCTGCTGCCAGCCGAGTGTCACACCGGGGCAGTGGTGGCGGCGTTGGGCAGGGAAGCAGGACAGGGGTTAGAGGGGGAATGCCCAGAAGCACTGGGCAGGGCCTGGGGTACCAGCTCCACCAGCAACGCAGGCCTCACCTTGGAAGCAGCCTCCGCCGTAGCCACCAGTATACACCCAGGCCGTGTGGTCGTAGCCAAGGCCCCACACCACGCCGCGGCTGCTGGCCTCCACCACCCGCAAGTGACCACCCATCTGCCGCCAGAACCTGGAGGGGTGGGGACAGGTGGTGTGGGGAGGCCGGGGAGGAGAGCCCGGCTTCAGTCCTGCTTCCAGCCTCTCATCCTCCCGGCCCACCCGTGTTGTTCTGTTGCTTCCCATGGACATCCTGATGTGCAAGTCTGTGGCCTCCAAACTTGGACACAGAAGTTATTAAGGCCAGGCTAATCTACGTGGCTTCCCATTTTGTATTTTGTATTAATCAATGACTTCCTGTTTTGTAGGAATCAGAGCATGGGAGAAGCAGGGTCTCTGCACTGAGGCAGGGTGTGCAGCCCCCAAATGGGGGACCCCAGAAGCAGCATGGATAGGGGGCTGAGGTCAGCAGCCTGTGCTGCTAATGCCTGCTGGGGCCTGGGGGTGGGAGGCCTGATGGTCCCTGGGAAGCAGGCCCCGCCCACCTGTCAGACTGCACGGCAACAGACTAACAGTTATTTCACCAAACAGGTGGCAGGGACACACCGTCTTCTTAGAGCCCCCAAGGCCCTGACCCCATCCCCAGAGGGGGAACCAGAGGCGGTCAGACTCGTTCCACCCGCACCGCACACACAAGGGCCCCAAAGAGCTAGACAGACAGACGCCGAATGGAGCCCAGCCTGCTCCACGTGGCCTCGGGTGATGGTCCCACCCCGAAGGGCCGGAAGGCCGGGGATTCTGCTCGCTGTCCCCTCAGACAGCTATAAATGCCATCTCCACAACCAGGACTCCAGACGGCACCTCCAGCCCTGCACTTCCCCAGACTCCTTTCAACTGCACCCTACCTGGCCCAGGACCCCCATGAGCCTGCTCCCCCTACCCCGTGTTCCCACTGGGTCAATGGGGCCACGCACTGCAGAATCCTCCGTGACGGCACGCTCTCCCCCCTCTTCCCTACAACATTATGGCTCCCAAGACCTCTCCCTTTAAAACACTCTCCAAATCAACCTTTCCACTCCGATCCCACACCTGGGCCAGCCACCACCTCTCTCACCTGGATCCCACCAGTGCCTCTGGCAGGCCTCTCTGCTCCCGCCCCCACCCATACTGTCCTTCACAGAGCCCAAGGGGCCTTCCAAACAGACGCTGGATGCTCACTGCCCACACGACCCCTCAAGGGCTCCGCCACACTCTGCAGCTGTCTATGCGGTGGGTCCCTGTGAGCTCTGGGCCTGGATCTCACCCCCGTGCTTGGCCCACTGCCCACGCCCCAGCCTTGTGCTGCTCCTGGAAAGCCCTGTGAAGCCCACCTCAAGATCTCTGACCATCCATTAAGGTCTGAGTTCTGTCTCCCAAAAAGATATGCTGAGGTCTTGACCCCGGTCCCCGTGAACATGACCTTGTTTGGCAATAGGATCTTTGAAGATATTACCATTTAAGTAAATATAAGGTCACAGTGGAGTAGGGTAGCACTAATCCAATATTAGGGGTGTTCTTATAAAAGAAGGAGGCTTGGTGGTGCAATGGTTAAGCACTCGGCTGCAAACCGAAAGGTCTGCGGTTTGAGCCAACCAGCTGCTCCATGGGAGAAAGATGTGGCAGTCTGCTTCCGTAAAGATTACAGCCTTGGAATCCCTATGGGGCAGTTCTACTCTACCTTATAGGGTCGCTATGAGTTGGAATCGCCTCTATAGCAATGTGTTGGGTTTGAGTCTTACAGGAGAAGAGACAGAGGGAAGACAGCCGCGTGAAACGGAGTGAGGCTGCAGCTGCAAGCTGAGGAACATCTGGGACCACCAAAAGCTGAGAGACAAGGAACGATCTTCCCTTTTGGAGAGATCATCGCCCTGCCAAGACTCCAACTTCAGACTCTCGTGTGACAAATTTCTGTCTTTATACTATCTACATGGGATCAAATTGACAACAGCAACTCAAAAGATTAGACAGGAAGCTCGGGGGGCAGTGAGTTTGTGTTAACAGTGGAGGAACAGAAAAGGAGGGTGAGAATGGCTGCATGACTTAAAGAACATAATTGACGTCATGGAATTGTTTATGTAGAAACTGCTGGGTGGGTGTATGTTTTGCTGTGTATATTCTCAACAACAACAATAAATTATTAAAAAACAAAACAAAAATTTCTGTTCTTCTGGGCCAGCCGGTTTGTGATGCTTGGTTACAGCAAGCCCTAGGTCACCCATATACCCTCCTACCCAGAAGACACCCCCGTCCTTCTGTCTTTCCATTACTTCACCTGGTTTCCCTTGTCCCCACACACCTGCCACCCCACCCAGCGCTCAGGGACAGTGAGTGAGCGAACGGGCTGTATACGGCCACTGCTGGCCTCCCACCTCCCCAGCTCCTTGGTCTCCCTGGACACAGTGAGGCTGTCAGAGGATGGGAGAACAGCACATGGCCAAGGGCACCAGCAGGCCCAACATGGTCGATCTGTCCCCCCTCACCAGGGGGCCCGGACAAGTCACTGACCCTCTCCAGACTTAGCCTCCTCAGCGGAGGGTAAGCAGGCTGTGAAGTAGGGGTATAGGTGACAGGCTAATATGGACAGCCAGCACGCTGTTCTCTCCTCTGCCCTCCCGGTTCCTGGCACAGGACCGCACACAGCAGGTGCTTAATAACAGCTGAAGCAACTCGGCACAAGGCACCTATGCCCCCTGGCTGGGATAGCTGACCATGGGTGAGGGCTGCCTCCCCACCAGGGGTGGAGGTTCAGCCTCGACATCCCACCCTCAACGGACCTGAGCCAGGCCCAGGAGAACTCGGGGCCGGGAGCCAGCCGGCCGAGCCTCCAACTGCTTAGGGTGAAGTGAGGCCTGTGGGGGTGATTGGGCTTGCTGGGGCCCCTCCCTTATGGACACAGCTCTGGGTGCTGGGCGACAGGCCCCAGGGCCATCCCTCTGGACCATAGCTCTGGCTAGGGGGCAGGGGGAACAGGCCCCTTCCCTCTGGACCACAGCTCTGGGTGCTGGGGGGACAGGCCCCAGGGCCCTCCCTTCTGAAACCATGGCTCTGGGTGCTGGCATGGGCAGGGGATGGGCCCCAGGAGCCTCCTTCCTGGACCACAGCTCTGGTGCTGGGGGGAGAGGGGAACAGACCCATTTGGACTGTAGTCACTCACATCTGGTCGCAGGGCAGCGGACGCTCGGGGGCCTCCAGGTCGAGGCTGGGCTCGCTCACAAAGATGTCCCCTTTGCAGGTGACGGACCAGATGGCCTGGGTGGAGGGGCGGCCGTGCACCCTCCGGCTCTCGCAGCAGGACAGGCTGAGCAGGGCCAGCTGGCAGGGGGAGATGTGGTCAGTGGTGGGCAGGGGCAGGCACGGGGTGGGCCAGGCACGCCCCCTGCCCACTCACCCAGTCGTTCATTTCCTGCTCGGTGGCAGCGGCCAGGCGTGCGGGCCACCTCTGCCGGGTCCTCTCGGGCGTGTACAGGGCGAAGGAGTGCTTGGCCTCATTCAGGACAGGCACCAGCACCGTCACCTCATTAAGGAACAGGTGGATGTACTGTCCAAAGAGCAGGCGTCATCAAGGAGAGATGGGACATTGCTGGGCAGCACACCCAAGCTCCCCGCTGGGCTGGGCCACAGCCGGGGGTATGGGGACCCCACTACGGGGATGGACAGGGACTGGGCCACCCTAGGGGTCACCCCTGATTCTACAGAGTTTGTCCTAGGGGGCCTCCTGTGGGCTTTGGTGGTGAGCTATGGAGCCATGTTCCAGCATGGAGACCATTCTTGATGAATAAATGTCATATTTACATACTGTTGTTGGAAGGAGCCCTGATGGCTTGGTGGTTAAGTACTTGGCTGCTAACCAAAAGGTCAGCAGTTCAAACCCACAGTGCTCCACAGGATAAAGTTGTGGCAATCTGCTTCTGTAAAGATTAAAGCCTTAGAAACCCTATGGGGCAGTTCTACTCTGTCCTTTAGGGTCACTATGAGTCAGAATCGACTTGACAGCAGTGGGTTTTATGGATTTATTGTTGGTTACCGTTGAGTGGATTCATTTACAGATTACAGGTATGATTCTGGAGTTGACCAGGGTACTCTGAAATTAGACTGACATGGGTTCAAGCCCAGCCAGCCTCCCACCAGCTGTATGGGAGGTGACAGACTTTCTCTTGTGCAGCCTGGTTTCTCATCTGAAAACCAGAGCCTGCTGGCTGTTGCTGGGAGTGTGGAGAGAACCCAGCGAAGGCTCTGGGAGGGCCAGCACACAGCAGGCCACGACCAGGACAGGGGACTGTGGTCACCACAGAGGGGGGCAGCGGTCACCATGGAGAGGGACAGTGGTCACCACGGAGGGGGGACAGTGGTCACCACAGAGGGGGGCAGCGGTCACCATGGACGGAGACAGTGGTCACCACGGAGGGGGGACAGTGGTCACCACGGTCACTGCGGTGCACTTTGTAAACCACAAGTCGCGGAGCCTGCACTGAGCACTTGGGGTCCGGTGTTCCTGGCCCACTGCGCTGACCCTTTCCTGTGCACCCTTCCCGGGATCCCCCTCCCCATGCATGCCCCCCAGCCCTCAGTGCCCCCTCCCTCACACCCCCCAGCCCCATGCACCTTCTTCTCCTCGTTGACCACGTAGTAGATGAAGAGGATGCTGTCCCGCACCCCGTCATGCCCCGTGAACTGCTCCAGCGCCACGCGTACGTCCACCCACTTGTGGGGCTTCCAGTCGCACCACCACTGCAACGCCCCCGTCTTCACCCACACCGACTGGGGTGCAGAGGGGGAGTCACAGGCAGGCCCCGGGGTCCCATCCCTGCAGACACAGACCCAGAACCACCCTGCCCTCTTCCACAGGATGCTCTGTGGGGAAGGCTCAGCAGCCTCCGTGGGGGCTCCCACTTGGCCTTGGCCCCCCCAGCTCCCCTTCCTAATAACAACACGGGGATGTCATGGGACACCGAATGGGTGCCAGGTCCCAAGCCAGTGCTGACGATGCAGCACCTAACACTGCTAGCCCAGCTCCGGTCCCATGGTCCAGATGGGGAAACTGAGGCTCAAGGAGGTCCTATGCTGTGTGCAACGTCACAGAGTGAGTCAGTGGCAAAGCTGGGATCCCAGCCCAGACCCTGCCCAGCCTAGAGACTGTGTTTGGCCCAGAGCAGCAGGGCGCTGCAGCCCCACACCTCTGGGAGATCAGTTACAAACTTCACATAACCCTTCCATCTCCCCAGCTCAGCTGTGGGCCCTCCAAGGGTGGGTCAGCTGTGGACAGCCTCAGGCGGGGACCCGTGGCTGCCCTTGGTTCTGTCCCAGCTCATGTGGGCACTCAGGCTGTCCTTTGGTGGTAGAAGGACCATCAGCCACCTCCGACCACTCCCGGCAGGAGGCGTTGGTCTGGCCCCTGGGGCCACGAGGGCCTGCAGCTCTGTAGGGCCTGAACTCGAGCCCTTTAGGAAGGGTCAAGCAATAGACTGTGTGTCTTCATGCCTGAATCCACCACAGGCCTGGATGGGGCCATTCATCCCCAAGATGGGCGGGCAGAGGCAGGGAGCCTCGTGTTTCTCCCACCCCTGGGAGGCTGGCACACAGCAGGCACTCCGTGGATGCCCACGGGGACACATGCATGGGGCAGCACCATGCACCTGCTCCACGGCCTGCTCGTAGTGCCGGAAGTTCTCCAGCTCCCGCTTGGTCCGCTCCGTGAGCTGCTGGAAGATCTGCTTCCTCCAGGCAGCGGTCTGGGCTGGCGTCACAGGCGGGGCCAGTGTCTGCACGGCTGGGGACAGGCCTGCAGGGCCCGCGGGGCCTCAGTGCCACCACTCCAGCCACCCCCCCAACTGAGGCCCATCTTTGGACCAACACCAGCCTCCTTCCTCCACCCTCCCCACTACGCCCAGGCAGGCAGAGACCTCAGCAATTTTTACTTTTGTGCATTTTTAAATCACCTCTTTCTTGCTAAAAAGCTAGGATCTCTGAAAACAGCCTCATAACACCCCCATATTCACCCTGACAGGCAAGTTGCTGTCCCCTCACAGTTTAGCCTCGAATGTGACTATCACTGCTGGGCCGGGGAGAGGGGTGCGGCGGGCAGGGGTGCCCGGCTGCCCTCTGAGAGCTTCAGGCAGCTGGCCTGACTCAGAGATATGAATGCGGGGATGTGAACTTGGGAACTCGGGGGTTGGGCAGCTGGGTGAAGACAGCAGAGTGCAGCCTGCTCAGAGCCCCTGGGACGTGTCCCATCCCTAGCCCTCCTGCTGCGGGCACCACCTTCTGCTCCACGCTCTGGGTCCCCAGCCACCCTGGGCAGGGCCGCTTACCTGAGTGGGCAGAGAACCACTTGAGTGCCGTGTGGGCCTCCACAGCGCAGCCGCCTCCAGACACCCAGGCCCACAGCGGGTGGTCGTCGGTGCTGTAGGGCTCCTCCAGGCCCAGTGGCAGGAGCCCCAGGGAGGAGAGGCCGGGTGGCTCAGGGAGGCCAGGTATCGAGTGGCCAGGCACCCTCCGAGGCTCCTTCAGGTCGATGTTGGTCCAGGGCAGCTCAGCCAGGGTGGAGACCGGTTGGGGCCGAGGCTCTCCACCTGTGCCCTCGGCCTGGCTGGCCTTCTCCTCTGCTCCGGCTGTGGGCCTGCCAGGCCCTGGTCCCAAGACTGGGCTGCCCTTGCAGCCCCCGGTGCTGTCCAAACAGTCTGCAGGGTGAGGCTGGTCAGGGCCTGGTCGATCCACTTCCGAGGAGGCGTCGGTGTCACTCGGGGCGGAGGACTCAGCACTGCCCCTCACCTCATCACCAAAGAAGCAGCCGGCGCTGCGGACAAAACAGGCAGGCCTGTCACTCCCCACAGGAGCCCACCCTCCGCCCCGTTCCACCCTGACCAGCTGAGTGACCTTGTGTGGGCCACCACCTCTCCCACTCCTTCTTCCTCTGAAAGTCAACACGTTAGGACCGACCTCCCAGGGAGCCAAAACACCCGGGCCATCCTCAGACCAATCCAGTCAGCGTATCTGGGGGTGGGGAGCTGACATCAGCATCATTTTTATCGTGGTAAGATGTTATGTTGTTGGATGCTGTCGAATGGATTTCGACTCACAGCGACCCCATGTGACAAAGCAGAACTGCCCGACAGGACTCTCTAACCTGTAATCTTCACAGAAGCAAATCACCAGGTGTTTCTCCCTTGGAGTTGCTGGGTGGGTTTGAACCACCAACTTTTTGGTTATCAGCCAAGCGCTTAACTGTTGTACCACCAACAGCTCATTTGTGGTAAAATACACATAGCAAAAAACCTACCTAACCGTTCAAACATGTACAATTCAGTGGGGTTGAGTACATCCACGATACTGTGCAACCATCACCACTACCTAGTTCCAGAAGTTTCTAATCAACCCACATGGGAATCCCATGCCCCGGAAATAGTCACTCCCCAGTCCCTCCTCCCCCGGCCCCTGACAACCACTCATCTGCATCCTGTCTCTGTGGATCTGCCTATTCTGGACATTTCATATGAATGGAATCGTACCATATGTAGTCTTCGTCTCTGGCTTCCTTCACTGAGCATAATGCTCATCCATGTTGTAGCATGTATGAAGATTTAATTTCTTTTTATTGCTAAATAATATTCCATTTTATGGATGGGCATTTTGTTTATCCATTCATCTGGTGATGGACATTTGGGCAGTTTCCAGCTTTTGGCTGTTGTGAATACTACTGCAATGAACAGTGGTGTATGCGTATCTCTTTGAGTCCCTGCTTTCAACCCTTTTAGTTATATACCAGGAGTGGAATTGCTAAATCATGTGGTAACTCTGTTTAACTTTTTGAGGAACCTCCGAACTGTTTTCCACAGCGGCTGCACCATTCTATATTCCCACCAGCAATGCATGAGGGTTCCAATTCACATCTTCACCAACACTTGTTACTGTCTTGTCTCTTCTATTATAGCTACCCTAGCGGGTGTGAAAGGAGCCCTGGTGGCACAATGGTTAAAGCACTCGGCTGCTAACTGAAAGGTTAGTGGTTGAAACCCACCAGCAGCTCCACGGGAAAAAGACATACGATTTGCTCCTGTAAAGAGTTCAGCCAAGGAAGCCCTGTGGGGCAGTTCTACTATGTCCTTATAGGGTTGCTATGAGTTGGAATTGACTCGACAGCAATGAGTTTTTAAAGACTAATGATGTTGAGCATATTTTCACGTGCTTACAGGCATACTGGTTTTATTGTGGTTTGCTTAACTGTACTTTGCAGGTATTAGGTTTTTTACAAATTGACGGTTTGTGGCAATCCTGCATTGAGCAAGTCTATCGGCACCATTTTTCAAATAACCTGTGCTCACTTCGTGTCCCTGTGTCAGATTTTGGTAATTCTCGCAATATTTCAAACTTTTTCATCATTATTGTATCTGTTATGGTGACCTGTGATCAGTGATCTTTGATGTTACTATTGTAACTGTTTCGGGGTGCCACGAACCACACCTATATAAGATAGCGAATTTAATCGATAAATGTTGTATGTGTTCTGATTGCTCCACCGACCGGCTGGTCCCCCAACTCTCTCCCTCTACTCAGGCCTCCCTATTCCCTGAGACATGACAATATTGAAATTAGGCCAATTAATAACCCTTCAAGTGAAAGGAAGAGTCACACATCGCTCACTTTAAATCAAAAGCTGGAAATGATTAAGCTTAATGAAGAAGGCATGTCAAAAGCTGAATGGGCCAAAAGCTAGGCCTCTTGTGCTAGTTAGCCAAGTTGTGAATGCAAAGGAAAAGTTCTTGAAGGAAATTAAAAGTGCTACTCCAGTGAACACACGAATGATAAGAAAGCAAAACAGCCTAATCGCTGATACGGAGAAAGTTTTAATGGTTTGGATAGAAGATCACACCAGCTACAGCATTCCCTTAAGCCAAAGCCTAATCCAGAGCAAGGCCCTAACTCTTTAATTCTCTAAAGGCTGAGAGAGGTGAGGAAGCTGCAGAAGAAAAGTTTGAAGCTGGCAGAGGTTGGTTCATGAGGTTTAAGGAAAGAAGCCATCTCCATAATATGAAAAAGTGCAAGGTGAAGCAGCAAGGGCTGATGAAGAACCTGCAGCAAGTTATCCAGAAGATCTAGCTAAGATAATTCATGAAGGTGGCTACACCAAACAACAGATTTTCAAAGTAGACGACACAGCCTTATACTGGAAGAAGATGCCATCTAGGACTATCACAGCTAGAGAGGAGAAGTCAGTGCCTGGCTTCAAGCTTCAAAGGACAGGCTGACTCTCTTGTTAGGGGCTAATGCAGATGGTGACTTTAAGTTGAAGACAATGCTCATTTACCATTCAAAAAATCCTAGGGTCCTTAAGAATTATGCTAAATCTACTCTGCTTGTGATCTATAAATGGAACAACAAAGCGTGGATGACAGCACATCTGTTTACAACATGGTTTACTGAATACTTTAAGCCCACTTTTGAGACCTACTGCTCAGAAAAAAAGATTCCTTTCAAAATATTACTGCTCACTGACAATGTACTTGGTCACCCAAGAGCTCTGATGGAGATGTTTATTAATGTTGTTTTCGTGCCTGCTAACACAACACCCATTCTACAGCCCATGGATCAAGGAGTAGTTTTGACTTTCAAGTCTTATTATTTAAGAAATACATTTTATAAGACTATAGCTGATAGATCTGGGCAAAGAAAATTGAATACCTCTGGAAAGGATTCCCCATTCTAGATGCCATTAAGAACGTTTGTGACTCATGGGAGGAGGTCAAAATATCAACATTAACAGGAGTTTGGAAAAGGTTGATTCCAACCCTCATGTATGACTTCGAGGGGTTCAAGACTTCAGTGGAGGAAGTAACTGCAGATGTGGTAGAAAGAGCAGGAGAACTACAATTAGAAATAGAGTCTGAAGATGTGACTGAATTGCTACAATCTGACGATAAAACTTCAACGGATGAGGAGTTACATCTTATGGATGAGCAAAGAAAGTCGTTTCTTGAGATGGAATCTACTCCTGGTGAAGATGCTGTGAACATGGTTGAGATGACAACAAAAAATTTAGAATATTACATAAACTTAGTTGATAAAGCAGCGGCAGGGTTTGAGAAGACCGACTCCAATTTTGAAATAAGATCTACTGTGGTTAAAATGCTATCAAACAGCATCACATGCTACAGAGAAATCTTTCGTGAAAGGAAGAGTTAATCGATGTGGCAAACTTTATTGTTGTCTTATTTTAAGAAATTGCCACAGCCACCCCAGTCGTCAGCAACCACCACCCTGATCAGTCAGCAGCCATCGACATCGAGACAAGACCCTCTACCAGCAAAAAGATCACAGCTCGCTGAAGGTTCAGATGATGGTTAGCATTTTTTAGCAATAAAGTGTGTTTTTAATTAAGGTCTGTACTTTTTTTTTAAGACATAATGCTATTGCACACTTAATAGACTACAGTATAGTGTAAACATAACTTCTATATGCCCTGGGAAACCAAAAAATTCATGTGATTCGTTTTATTGCGATATTTGCTTTATTGCGGTAGTCTGGAACTGAATCCACAGTATCTCTTGAGGTATTCCTGTATTGGCCATTTGTATATCCTCTTTAGAGAAATGTCCATTCAAGTCCTTTGCCCCTTTAATTGGGTTGTCTGCCTTTTTATTGTTGAGTTGTAAGAGTACTTTATATATTCTGGATACTGCGCAGTGGTTAAGAGCTCAGCTGCTAACCGAAAGGTCAGCAGTTCGAATCTACCAGCTGCTCCTTGGAAACCTTATGGGGCAGTTCTACTCTGTCCTACAGGGTCGCTATGAGTTGGAATCGACTTGACAGCACAGAACAACAAGAAGAGACCCTTATCAGATGTATGATTTGCAAACATTTTCTCCCATTCTGTGGGATGCCTTTTTACTCCTTTGATAGTGTCTTTGGATGCACAGAAGTTTGAAATTTTGATTAAGTCCAATTTACCTATTTTTTTCCTTCGTTTGTGCTTCTGGTATTACATCTAAGAAACCACTGCCAAATCCAAGATCGTGAAGATTTGGCGTCGGTAGTTTTTTTAGATGTCTCAGTTGATTCCAACGTGCTGTCCAGTTGGAGGGGACTATGCTAGGTGGAGTGTGAGCAAGTTGCCCAGGTCGGGGACTCAATGGGTGCTGGAGAAGCCCCTGGCGCCATCTTCCCAGCCCTCTGGGCTGGGGAAGCAGAGAGGTGTGGACCAGGCCTGGTAAGGGCTTGAGCTAAAACAGGAATGTGGCCCCTGCAGAGTCCTGGGCCCAGGCTCCCCGAGCAGGTGAATCCTGCTGTCAACCCTGTCTTAGAGGTGGGGAGGCCCAGCTCCGACGTGAACTACCTGCCTGGGCTCCTAGGACTAGTGGACAGAGCTGGACTCGACCAGTCCCCTCAAGTTACAGCCACCAGACCAGCAGCAGCAGCAATCACCTGGGAACTTGTTAAAAATGCATATTCTTGGGCCCCTGACCAGACCTGCTGAATCAAACTGTAATTCTGAACCATTAGTGGGCTGTGAAATCAATACCATTGTTTGTTGTTAGTTACCGATGAGTCGACTCTGACTCATGGCAACCCCATGTGTGCAGAGTAGAACCACTCCATCGGGTTTTCAAGGCTGTGATCTCTTGGAAGCAGACTGCCAGGCCTGCCTTCCGAGGTGCCTCTAGTTGGGTCTGAACTGCCAACCTTTTGATTAGTAGTCCTGCACTTAAACTTCTATGCCACTTGGACAACAGACTTGCTGAATCAGAAACCCTGGGGTGGGGCCTGGGAATCTGGGTCTGAACAAGCCTCCAGGTGAGGGGCTTGTGCTCTAGCCTAGGGACCCTCCCCGCTCTCCCTGCTTTCCTATGACAGGGGGACCTCAGCCTCAAAGAAGTCTTTCCTCCTTCAGACGGTGAGACTTGAGAGCTGGCAGGCCAGCCCTGCCTGGGGACGGTGCTCTGGGCTCGCGGGAGACCCCTCGGGCTCTCTTACTCACCTCACAGGCCCCCTTTCCTCCCCACTCAGCCCACAGAGGGGCTGAGCTGCTTCCTTGGAGCTGAGCCCTGGGCTGAGGTGGCAGGAGTTCAGGTGGTTGTTACTGGGTGCCATCGAGTCAATTTTTAATTCACAGTGACCCCACTGACAAAGCAGAACTGCCCCATAGGGTTTTCTAGGCTGTAATCTTTAGAGGAGCAGATCGCCAGGTCTTTCTCAAGCAGAGCTGTTAGATGGGTTCAAATGCCAACCATTTGGTTAGTAGCCAAGCGCTTAACCGTTGTGCCACCAGGGCTCCTTAGGAGTTCAGGAAAGGGAGAAAACCTGCACCCCAGCCCTTTGTGGGCAGGAGTCTGGTGGTCCCTGCCTCAGACCAGGCCCACCATGGGCAGGTGGAGGCCTCACACCAGCAGCCCATTCCCCCCTCCATCCCAACTCACCTGAGGAGGCTGGATGAGCTGCCCGAGTGTGACCGGTCACACTCCCGGCCGGCAACGATGGCTTTCCATGTCTTCCCACTGAGCTCGCTGGGGGTGACACCCTGCCGGAAGTACATGGCCCGGTCCTCGCAGGCGATGCCCCAGACCTGGAACAGAGAGAGGCCTGTGGGGTTGGGCGCCGACAGAGCCCCTCCCTTCATGGGGTGGGACGCGTGTGTAACCACGAGCAGGCGTCCCCCTCATCTGTGAGGCGGGGTGCACGTGTGCATGTTGGGGCTGGGAGGGTCACCTGAGGGTGGACATGGGACGGTATGAAAGTTGAATGCAAGAAAGGGAGCCCAGGAAGGGGCTGGGGAGGCACCAGACCAGGGGGAACCAGGGAACGATCCAGGGACCCCATCCTGGCCCCCAGTGTCAGGTGAACTTGGGGCTCTGGGGTGACTGGGTCCTGAGGTGGGGGTGGTGCTGGGACTCAGAGTCTACCGTGTCCATACCTTCCACATAGCGTCTGGCCCAGAGGGTGGGCCCGGTCTTTTTTAAGATGCACAGCAACCTCCTGAAATCCCGACCCCACTTTCCACAACAAATGGCCTGGCAGGCTTTTTTTTTTTTTAACTGTGATAAGTATATAGGTAACAGAGCATTTCTACGATCTTCACGTGTACAGTTCAGTGACATTAATTACGTTTACTATGTTTTTCAACCATCTCCATTAACCATTCCTGAATTCTTACATCACCCTTAACAGAAGCTCAATGTGTCCTAAATGGGGTGTCTTCCTTTCCCCTCCCTCCCACCTACCCCTGATGACCACTCATAGGATTTGGTATCTTTACACTTCCTGGTAGGCATCTAAGCCCCTGCCTTGGTGCTGATGAAGGCAGCTATGCTGGGCAGCCGGAGGGCCGAGGGCAGGTGGTCCGAGAACTGCCCGTGTCAGGCCCCTCGCCCGCGGCCCCACTGGGGGCTGAGGCAGCTCCTCCACTTCGTGGGGGCAGGCCAGCTCCATGCTCAAGCTGTCGGCTCCCCAGACTCAGTTCCCACGTGCTCCAGCAGGAGCAGTCTCACCGCTGGCCACCAGCCCTGCAGCCCTCTGGCCCATGTGTGCCTGGGTTGCCAGGGTGAGTGGGATGGGGGTGCAGGGGCACAGGAAAGACCAGCCCCACACCTGGGAAGAGCTTATAGTACAGTGCAATGGGGGAAGGGTCCTCTCCACATCAAGGGGCTACCCATTGTATCCGAGTGTTCACCGCAGCACTGTTCACGGTAGCCCAAAGGTAGACACAACCCAAGAGTTCACCAAAGGATGAAGGGATACACAAAATATGGTACATACATCCAGAGGAGTATTATCTGGTCACAAAGAGAAATGAAGTTCTGATACATGCTACCACACGGACGAACCCTAAAAGCCTGATGCTGAGTGAACATTATGCTGACTCAGGACAAATACTGTATGACCCCAAGTATATGAAATATCTAGAACAGGCAAATGCATAGGGACAGAACGTACCACAATAAAATCAAAAAAATAAAGCCCTATGGAGCACAGTTCTATTCTGACATGCATGGGGTTGCCATGAGTTGGAATCGACTCGATGGTAAGTGGTTCAGTTTTGGTTATTAAGCTTTTGCAGTTGGAGTTATGTTTTGTGCCTGTTTGCTGTGAAGAGGTTGAGATGGTGCTCAAGCAAGCCCAGCTGTCCCTGTGTTACACTTTGTTGTTGTTAGCGGCCATTATGTCAGCCCCAAGAACTGGTAACAACGACAACAGTAAGAACAATAAATATTGTCTGAGGGACTACCATGTGCCAGGGGAAGAAAAAGGAGGCTGCCGATGCAGAGTTGTAAAAGCGCCCGAGCCTCCTCAGCTCCGAGGAGAGATGCGCAGAGCACGCTATGAGAAGCTGCGCCTGTGAGGGTCAGCGTCCTCCTTCCCCACTGACACCATGCTGAGACACGAGGCCCGTCCATCTGACTTCACCTTCACATTCCTCCATGGAGCCCTTCCAGTGTCAGGGGGCACAGATCCGTGCTCACCCCACTGCTCTGAGGGTGACTGTGGTCCTTGGGGAAGTGACTTGGGACAAGTGGGGGCTCCAGACCCTGGGGGGGCAGTCCCTGGGTGCCCTCGCAGGCTGGGAAAGCACAGGTGTGCAGGACAGCATGCCTAGGGGTGGACTGCGGGAAGCCGGCCACGGGCCCAGCCTGACTCTCTGCACCAAGAATCCCCATTCTGAAACCTCTGTGCTCGGGAGCAACTGCCCTGGCGCGGGGGAGCTGTGGGCTCAGAGCACCGCCCCTGCACACCTGGTGGCTGACCCCTGGGAACTCTGAGCACGGCCCCTTGGAGCCTCAAGCTCAGGGCACCGCCCCTGCAGACCTGGAGCAAGAGTTCTGAGCACCACTTCTGCACATCTGGTGGCTGACCCCCGGGAACCCTGAGCACCGCCCCTGCACCTGGTGGCTGACCCCGGGAGCCGCCTGCCTTGCACACCTGGTCGTTGAGTCCCACGTTCACCATCACCATTTCTCCAACCATCTCAATCCAGCTGGTGCCACAGGGATTGTGCGAGTTGACGCCTCTCCGGAACCACACCTGGGAGAATCAGAAATAAACATGCCTCTATAGGGGAAGTCAACACAACTTGACCAAAGCAAAGTCATAGGAGCTCCCTAGATACATCCAAACACCTTGAGGGGCTGAGTTACTGGGGCTGAGGGCTGGGGACCATGGTCTCAGGGGATATCTAGGTAAATTGGCATAACATAGTTTATAAAGAAAATGATCTACATCCTACTTTGGTGACTAATATCTGGGGCCTTAAAAGCTTGTGAGCGGCCGTCTAAGATACTCCACCCCGTTTGGAGCAAGGGAGAATTAAGAAAACCAATGATACAAGGGAAAGATTAGTCCAAAAGGATAATGGACCACAACTAACACAGCCTCCACCAGACTGGGTCCAGCACAACTAGATGGTGCTCGGCTACCACCACCGACTGCTCTGACAGGGATCACAATAGAGCATCCCGGACAAAGTGGGAGAAAAATGTAGAACAAAATTCAAATTCACCAAAAAAAGACCAGACTTACTGGTCTGACAGAGACTGGAGGAAGCCCTGAGACTATGGCCCCCGGACACCCTGCTAACTCAGAACTGAAGCCACTCCTGAAGTCTACCTTTCAGCCAAAAATTAGACAGGCCTATAAAACAAACAATAACATACGTAAGGAACGTGCTTCTTAGTTCAATCAAGTAGACAAGATCAAATAGGCAACACCTGCCCAAAAGGAAAGATCAGAAACCAGGAGACAGAAAAACTGGACGAATAGACACGGGGAACCCAGGGTGGAAATGGGGAGAGTGCTGGCACATGGCGGGGACTGCAAATAGCACAAAGTAATCTGTGGATAAATTTTTGAATGAGAAACTAAGTGGCACTGTAAACTTTCACCTAAAGCACAATAAAATTAAAAAACAAACCAGAAAAAGATGAAAAGAAAGAAATGTGCATCCTTGGAGGCCTACAGAAAGAAAAGGTTTACTTTTGTTTTTTTAAGGCTCAGGGAGAACATTTTTTTTTTTTTGGTCTTGGACCTGATTTTTATTTATTTTTCCTTCTGTTTATTTTTTTTTATTGTTGTAGTTTAAATGAAATTTACATTTCAAGTTAGTCTCCCATAAAAAACTTATACATACAGTATTATGTGACCCTAATTGATCTCCCCATACTGTGACAGCACACTCCTCCTTTTCCACCTGATTCCCCATGTCCATTCAACCAGCTCCTGACCCTCTCTGCCTTCCCATCTCACCTCCGGACAGAAGCTGCCCGTTTAGACTCTTCTATCTACATGAGCTAAGAGGCACACTCCTCACGAGTATCACTTTATGTCCCACAGTCCAGTCCAATCCGTCTGAAGAGTTGGCCTTGGAAATTGTTTTAGTTCTGGGCTGACAGAGAATCCAGGGGCCATGCTTTCCAGGGTACCTCCAGTCTCAGTCAGACCATTAATGGTCTTCTTACTAGAATTTGAGTGCTGCACCCCACCTTTCTCCTGCTCCAACAGGGACTCTCTGTTGTGTTCCCCGTCAGGGTGGTCACTGGTGGTAGCCGGGCACCATCTAGTTCTGGTCTCAAGCTGATGAAGTCTCTGGTTTATGTGGCCCTTTCTGTCTCTTGGGTTAATACTCTCGAGTCTTTGGTGTTCTTCGTTCTCCTTTACTCCAGGTGGTTGGGACCAATTGATGCATCTTAGATGGCTACTTGCAAGCTTTTAAGAGCCCAGACGCCACTCACCAAAGTAGGATGCAGAACATTTTAATAAGCTTTGTTATGCCAGTTGACCTAGATGTCCCCTGAAACCATGGTCCCCAGACCCCTACCCATGCTACTCTGTACCTCAAAGTGTTTGAATGTATTCAGGAAACTTCTTAGCTTTGGTTTAGTCCAGTTGTGCTGACTTCCCCTGTAGTGTGTGCTGTCCTTCCCTTCACCTAATTCTTATCTA